AATACACATTAAATGAGTTTTCACATACATTGATTAAACAACTCTGGACACACATTAATTACACGAGTATACCAATAAACATTAGATAAGTATGTCTAGACATTGATTAAACATGTCTACCAGTATCATTAGACAAATATACCTACATATAGATTAAACGAGTTTATTAATATACATTTAGACATGTTTGTCTACTCATTAATTAAATGAGTCTTACAATACACATTATACGAGTATGAATATACACTGATTAAACAAGTCTAGCAATACATGTTATATGAGTGTGTGTATATATACATATTAGACATGTCTAATACACATTATAAAAGTTTGTTGATGTATTGATTAGATAAGTCTAACAATACACATTAGACAAATCTTTCCATACATTGATTAAACAAGGAACACGACTCTAACAAAATACAATAGAGGAGACTATTTATACATTAATTAAACAAGTATAAAAAAAATATTAGACAAGTCTATATGAATGCATTAATTAGATAATTAAAGCAAAAAAATTAGAAGAGTTTGTTGATGTATTGACTACACCAGTCTAGCAATACACATTAGACGAATCATTCGTATATTGATTAGAAAAGTCTTTCCATACACAAATTAGACGATTCAATTAATATAAATTACACAAGTCTGTTCATTCACTGATTAGGTGAAACTTGTAATATACACTAGACAAGTCTCTTCATACATTGATTAAATGACATAGATAGTATAGAAAAAAACATAAGATGAGTCTAGCAATACACATTAAACGAGTCTGTCTATACACTAATTAAATAAGTATAGTAAAAACTATTAGATGAGTCATTCCATACATTAATTAAAAATATGCATTAAACAAGTATCTCTATACACTGATAAAACGAGTCTTACAACATACATTAAACAAAGTTTGTCTATTAATTAAGCAAGTTTATTCATATACATATTAGATGAGTTTATTAATACACATTAGACAACTCTATCCAATATCTAATTAGACAAGTTTTATAATATATGTTAAACAAATTAGTTCATATAACAATATATATTGGACAAGTTTGTCAATGTACTGATTAGATGAGTCTAACATATACATTAGAGCAATATATTCATAAACTAATTTGTATTTTTAGCGAGTTTACTCTACATGTTTTTGCATATCCTTTATACTTGTAGAGAATGCACTCTATATTTTTTGTATATGCGTTATCCTTTGTATTTTTACAAAATCTATTATTTATATTTATACAAACATGTGTATTTTATATTAAAATATATTATGTGTATTTTAAGTCTATATATTTTTACAAAATCTAATATATATATATATATATATATATATACACTTTCTAAACTTATAAATTAATTTTCAAATTAATTTTATAGAAAACTAAATTATAAACCTAAAAAAGTTTATTATTTATTTTTCGAATATTTATATGTCTTTAAATAACCCACTTGCATAACCACGAATTTAAAACTAGTTTAAAAAGAAAAAATTACACGTGCTTTTGCCCAAAGACATAAAAAAGGTAAGAAAGTGTAACCCTAAACATAATAAGAAATAAATAAGGTAACATCATCATGACTCCACTGTCCTAATCGAAGCTGGAACCGAAAGTCCAAGATTGAATCTGGTGCACTTCAGTTAGCCGTCCTGTGGCGCCGGAGAAGCCAACCCTCACCCATTCTGGCAGAACCGTCTTCAAATCAATCATGAGGCTAATCGTAGGTCCGTTCTTGACAACCACACTCAAACTTTGTGAAGCAGCTTGATAGGTTACGGTCACAAATGCTGTTATCAATCCAGGATGCATTTCCCATTGCGCCGATGCCACCGAAGTAATGGAGTTAACATCAATGCCTATGTGGGGAAAAGGAGGGTCCCAATGATTCTGGTGCATGTCAAATTCAACCGCAACTATTTGGTTCCGGTCGGTATTTGTAAAAGCAAACTTAGGATCGAAGAGTCCGAGGTAGCCGCCAAATGAATTTAGGGGCATGGTAGATTCTGTTGCTCCCAAGAAGAAAGAGATTCCATCTCCATTGCTTCGACCAAAGGATATGTTGAAAGAGAAGGAAGTGGAGAAGCTTGCAACTTTACCAGTTTGTGCATCCCAAAGGCGAACAGGAAGAGCATAGGTGGCTCTGCCAACACTGTTGGGCACGACTCCACCATCATCTCGGACCTTTGTTAGCTGTATGACACCCTTTGATGAAGAGGCATCGCCTTCGAAGAATAAAAGGCTGTTCACGTATGCCGCTGAAAAATTGGGGAATATGAAAGAAGTGTCGAAATCACGATGAAGCAGTAGTAATGGAACGAGGAGCATGAAAACGGGCCTTGTGTTGAGCAAAGCAGCCATGGCTCTAAGATCATATCATATGATACTGAGAATGGTCAAGTGTCAATCCACTACATATATACAGATAGAGATTTTGGTCAGAGGAGAAAATAAAATTAAATAAATTGTGTACGTAGGGAAGAGGCCAAACTATTTGCATAGTTGGCACTTGACGACACATAGGAAGAATGGTGATTCAAACAAGGATGTGTAGGAAAACTTTTTCATTTTCATTATATAAACCGTTTGATTGATGGTGAAAGAGATAAAAAGGATGAAAAGAGAAAGTGGTAAAAAAGAAGAAATATATAGAAAATGTATAAGAAATCTTGCTTTGGGGTTCGAGGGATAAAAAAATCAATGTCTATATAAGTTAAATGGTGCATTTAAGATGACAACTAATTCCTTGCTAACTTGTTCTTGTTGATAGATTAATTTTGAGGCTCCCCCGAAATGCATCTCTATGTCTTCTTCGTAGGTGTTGCGTGCTTCAGTCCAATTCTCCAAAATGCTATATTTCTTTCTTTCCTAATATCTTTTCATTGTTCTTCAATTAGAACGAAGTTTTCTTATACTAGCAATTATGTTGACTTTTATCGCAAATTTTATTTCGTAACATACAAGGTGTGTCTCTAGTTTTGAAGGGAAAACAATATTTTATTGTTATTTCAAACTAGTTGTTGTATAGTTCATAATTGTGTTGATATTAGTGCGACCCAATAGAGGACGAATGATATTTTTGGAAGAAGAAGGTAGAAAAGTGAAAGCTAGAGAAGAAGGTTACTTAACCGAACTGAGGAGAATGATGTTCTAATACTAATGACTAAACTCAATCCAAAGGATGGACGATGTGGAGGCTATTACTTTAAGTAAATTTACTCTAATTTCAACAAGTTGACCTATTTCTGCATGAAGATTAAGTAGGAGCAAGAGTTATCTTTGGTCGAAGTCTATCTTCACCAAAACTGGTTGGACTTCGTTATTAACTAGTCATTAACAGATCGAGTTGGCACTTTAACATACACTAGACATCTAGAGACTGACTTAAAGAATTAGGCTATAATTTGGGCCTAAGTTCGTTTAATTAGGTTAAATTTTATTAACCGATAGTGTTGTATATGAGATATCGATTAAAAGAGCAATCGATTTTTTTTTCTTCTGTTTAGGACTTACAGTTTTTTCTTACCAGGATAGTAGCTATTAAAAATGACTTATCAATTATTTACATGCTAAAAATTTTATAAAAAATTATATTTGTACTTCTATCCGTATTTACATATTGATGCATTCTTATATCTAATCTAGAGCTGTGAAAACAGACCATCCGACCCACCACGGGTTAGTGGGTAAACGGATTGGCTCACTGCTTCGTTTAATTATAATTTTTTTAAATAAAAAAATTAAAAACTTTCTATAATTCAAATATAAACAAATTTCACTTCCAAATTTCACTCTCGACATGAGCGTTTAACAAGCAAAAACAAAATAATAAATATTTTTTATAATTAAAATTAAATTTTAATAAAATAAAATTAGGTAGGTGGGTTGGTGGGCAAACCCAGTCCACCACGAGTTCAACCCGCATGAGCCGGGTTTAAATGAGCCGGGTTGAAATCTGACTCGCATAAAAAAATACAATTTTTTCAAACTTAATCCGACTCAAACCCGTGATGAGTCGGGTTAACTTCCGGGTTGTGACCCATTTTAATCATTGATAGAAATATTACACTTCTCATAATTAACATAGTGATGGACTCATTTAATAGATTGTCTAATAAAAATAAATATGTGTATCAATTATTATTATTATTATTATGAAATAGTTATATTTAAATAATAACTTAAACAAAAGTTGAATGGTAATTATAAATAAATTAATTTTAGTAAGATGGGAATAAAGAAAAAAATATTGTTAGAGGAATAACATTCTATTTTTATTAAAATGTTATAATAACTTTGGTATGCTGGTGATGGTTGGTTGTGATGGTAATGGTCACTGCAAGAAAAAATATCAACTTAGAGTTGGCTAAAAGCTTATGTTACCAATGAAAAGTCAACTCTACTACACATGACTAATGTAATTTTCTCATATTAATCAATATTTCAGACAATTTTCTGAGTGTCTTATGGAAAAGCTAAAGGGTCCCTTCCTAGTCAACTTTTCCAATAGCATGGATTTCCCAAAGGCTGCTGGTAATAATTAATCTTTGATTTTCATTTCTTAAAATTCAATAAAAGGAAAAACTACATACACGTGTGTGTGTTTTTTTATTTATTTATTAACCTCTCTTTTATGTTTTGTTCAGATTTTAGGATAAGATAGAATAAAAAAAAGAAAAAAGAAAAGAGAAAATAATATCATATAAATTAGGAAAGAAAAAAATAATTAGATTTATTTATTTATTAATATTATATTATATTATATTACATTAAAAATGTAAATATTAATTATCTTTTCATTATATAATAATAATAAAGTAATAATAAGAATAATTAATATAAAAATTGAAAAGTTTTATTATTATAAAGTATTAATAAAACAGGTATTAAGTGATTATTATTTTAAAAGATAAGTGAAAGTAAATCATGATTGATGAATCATTCCTATGCAACAAAAGTATTTGATATCATCTCATAGCAGACGCCATTTTCCTAATTGAAGCTAGAGCTGAAAGTCCAAGATAGAATCTTGTGCAGCTCAATCAGCTGTCCCGTGGCACCGGAGAACCCAACGCTGACCCATTCAGGCAGAACGGTCGTCAAATCAATCACGTGCCCAATACTAGGTCCGTCGTTACTTACGACCGCGCTTAAATTTTGTGCCACAGGATCATAGGCAACGGTAGCAGATACTGTTGCAACCCCAAGCTGTTTATTTTACCAGGCCACTGTTGTTACAGAAGAAATGGAGTTAATATCAATGCCTATGTGGGGAAAAGGAGGGTCCCATTCATCTCGGTGCATGTCAAATTCAATGGCAACTATATGGTTTCGGCTGGTGTTTTTTAGAGCGGTGTGGGGACTGAAAAGTCCGAGGTATCCACCAACTGCATCACGGGGCATGTCAGAGCGGAACGGTGCAATGAAGAAAGAGATCCCCTCGCCAAAATCTAAAGTTGGAGCGTTCAGTATCTTAAAACTGAAGGTAGTGGTGAAGCTTGCCGTCTTACCTGTTTCTGCATCCCAAAGACGCACCGGTAGAGCATAGGTGGCTCTGCCAGCACTGTGGAGCACGATTGTGCCGTTATTCAGGACTTCTGTTAGTTCTATTACACCCGTTGATGCAAAGGCATCGCCTTGGAAGCTTAAAAGGGTGTTAGCGTATGGCCCTGAAAAATTGGGGAAATTGAAAGATGTGTCTGAACTGCGATGCAGCATTAGGAGCGGGATGAGGAGCAGGAAAACGGGCTTTGTGTTGTACAAAGCAGCCATGGCTTGGAGAATGGTAAGTGTCAATCCACTAGCTAGATATACACAAAGAGGTTTTTCTGAGCTGAGAAAATGAAATTATGTGCAGGATAGGAAATGGCCAAACTATTTACATAGTTTTTACTAGACAGCGGATGAAGGGTGATTAGAACAAGGGTGAAGTCTTTTTCACATTCACAAGGGAGAAGTCTTTTTCACATTCACAAGGGAGCAACTCATTTCAGTACAGTTAACGGTAGACATTTTTTTACTCATTTAGGTAAATATTTATTCATGATAAATTAATAAATATGTATGATTTTTTGCTTTTGTTGTGATCAAAGAATGACATATATTTAGGACAAGCGCCAGTAATCCAAAGTAATATTGACTAAAATCTTTCGAGAGAGATATATGAAGCAATCCTAGGATTTTTCACCTTTTATGTTTTGACCACACATTGCTATGTTAGGTGCATTGTTGGAAAATCATTTTTTATTGAATTTACTGATTTAGAACGGATCAGCCAGCCTATATATAACTCGAATTTCTGGGTTTTGCCATGCACCACCATCAATTAAGTTTCAAAGTAATCTCTGGGGTGTCAACCATGGCTAAAACACGAACTCCATTTCCCCTTCTCATGATTTCCTTCTGTTTTGTGTTTCTTGTGAATAACGTGAAGTCAGATTCACTTTCATTCGGCTTCTCGAAATTCGAGCCAGGAATACAGTTCGACATTGGTTTCCTCGGCGATGCCCGTGTAGTAGACGGTGCAATACAATTGACTAGAAGAGACGGTGGATCATACGGCAATCCGATCATTCGCGAACACAGTGCTGGTCGTGCTGTTTACATTCCACCCGTCCGTCTCTGGGACAAAACCACAGGGAAACTTGCAGACTTCGAAACTGTGTTCACCTTCGTCGTTGATTCCGCTGGGTCACAAATCCACGCTGATGGCCTCTCTTTCTTCATCATACCATTCGATGCTGACCCGAGCGTTCCCAAAAATTCAACTGGGGGATACCTCGGACTCTTCACTCCCGAAACTGCTTTCAACGCCGACAAGAATCAGATAGTGGCGATTGAATTCGACAGCTTCGGAAATGAATGGGATCCCGAGCCTGTTGCCATTGCTCCGCACATTGGTGTGGACATCAACAGTCTTGAGTCTGTGAAGACGACAGATTGGCCTATTAATTCAGTTCCTGAAGGTTCGATTGGAAAAGGTAGCATTATCTACGATTCCGGGAAGAAAGAGTTGAGTGTGGGCGTTGTGTATGATACTCATCCCCCCACTGTTGTTGAGCTGTCGAAAACAATTGATCTGAGGGGTGTTCTGCCGGAATGGGTGAGAATTGGGTTCTCTGGTGCCACTGGTGACAGCGTTGAGACTCATGACATTCTCTCTTGGTTTTTCGCTTCACGTATCTAGCAGACTTACTTCCTCTAAAGAGAATAATGATCTGTAATAAGGAAGAGGGCCAAGTCTGCAATTCTGAGTTGTCAGTGTTTTATGGATTCTGCATGAGTGTTTGTGTTTTCCTCGTAAGCCCAAGCTTGGTGTCATTGAATTAATAGTCATGGTTTTTACTTTGTTAATTTTGCTTAACTTTTTTCCTTCCAACTAAAACATATAAGTAGAATGATATTTTAACAACTTTTTTTAATAACTTTTAACAATAGATTATGTAATATTATTTTATTGGTTCACATATTTGAAATGAACTAATAATAAGTTAAGAGTTGTTCTGAAAAAGTTGTCCAAAAAAATTATTAAAAAGACATTTTTCAACATGTAATATTTCGTTCTCTCTAACAAAATCATTAAAGGA